TAGGGCTGGGTGGGAGGGTGTCAGGGGCTTGGGGGCTTACAGGAGTCCAGGGGAACCTGCAGGGTGGCATGGGGTGTCAGGGGGTGTGGTGAAAGGAGGTCCTTTAGGTCTGGGGCGGGGGTGACCCTGCAGGGTCCCTGCCCCAGCTTGGGGCACCTGTGATGGCAGGGCCGGGCCCTGGGAGCTCCCATCCAGCTGTGGGTGCTGGAGCTGGTGCTGCTGCTCAAAGGGGAAAGAGGGTTCCCAGTGGGGAGGCTGACCCTGGCCTTTCTCCTGTCACCACAGGTGGCTGGCATGTCGCCTGGCTGTCACCTGGTGCCGGCAGAAGCTTCATGCGGAGCTGAAGATTGGGTCCTTCGGCTTCTTCTGGGCCCAGAACATCAGCCTGAAGTTCCAGCAGGAGCAGCAGACTGTGGTGCGTACCCGGGCGAAGGGCAGCCACCAGCAGATGAGGGCAGGCGGGATGGCTGCGGTTACTTCCAGGCTGGCAGCAAATCCCTGCAGCCAAGCTGCTGTTGCACAGCTCCATAGCTGATGCTAGGCCCTTCCTCCCACGGCCAAACTTGGGGTTTTTGGCTGCTCCTTGCATGATGCCAGGCATTGGGAGCGGAGTGGGAATGTAGGGATGAGCATCACAAGGCAGAGCCAGGTTGTTTCTTCTCTGACCTACCTGTGCGTCCTTGCAGGAGATCGACAACGTCTGGATCTCCAGTAAACTGAGCCGGGAGCTGCCGTACGTACCGCTGCCCCGGCTCCCTCCCTGCTCTCTTGGGGAGTCTGGCTCATCCCTGGCCCCACTGACTGCGGTTCTGCTGCCTTTACACCTTTCTGCAGTCCCTCTTTCCCCATGGTGTGCTCTGTGTGGGAGTGAATCACTCTTCTTTGAGGTGGCAGTGTCTTGTGGATGTCCTTGTGCTGGTCCTGCACATCCCCAGGGCGGGGGGGCATCCCTGGCAATGGGGCCGGGTGTGCCATGTGTGAGCTCTTGCAAGAGTTGCCCATGCTGTTCTTCCGCAGGCGCTACTTTGAGCTGTGTTTTGGCGAGGTGCGAATCCGCACAGATCTCCAGAAGGGCCATGGGTTCCAGCCGTCCGTCCTGGAGGCTCCCAGAGAAGCTGATGGAGATGAAAGCAGAGCAGACCTGACTCTTAAACCCTCCCTGCTGAGGCTCCTTAGCCAGGTGAGACACTGGCTCAGTGAGAGGCTGTTGTGGGCTGTGCTGCTCTCGGACATCCCTCACAGCAGCACCTTCCCCCCAGCTCTTTTCCATCCACATGGACTCCATCAACATCATGGTTCTGCATGTGGCCACCTCAGAGTCTCTCTGGCACGTCCAGGCCAGCAAGACACGTCTCCTCCTGAACGGTGACGGGAAGAGGTAACGCTGTGTTCGCACCCCACTCTGCTTCCCTAGCCTGGCCCTGGGTCTCAGGGGGCAGGGAGGCTCTTCTGACCGCAATCTGGTATCTTGCCTCTCTCCGTCCTGCTCAGCAGCATCCCATGTCACCTGTGATGTGACACATTAACCTCCTCCGAGGCTAGCCTGGTCCCTTTTCCCTTCATGGGAAGCTCAAGTTGTGTGTTCTCCAAATTATGAGTTGCTGCATTGTCCACAGAGTTAGGGTGTGCTCTGCTTTTGGGAGGACTTGGAGCAGGGACTTGGAGTCCCTCTGTCCCACAGAAAAGAGAAGGCAGGGGCTTGGTTCACAGGCAGCAGGACCCGCATCCTCCATCTGTTCTCTGCTCTCCCCAGCCTGACCTGTGAGGTGAGCCTGACAAAGGTGAACAGCAAAGTCCTCCGGAGCAGCCAGCTGGTGAGTGCTGGGAAAGGGAGAAATTCAACATTTCGAGCCTGGGCACTGGCTCTCTGGGACACCCGAGGATCTGTTCCAGCAAGTCCCTGAGGCTGGGCAATGCTGCAACACTCTGGGCTCCGTGCTGTGCCCAGTGCTTCACCTGCAGCGTCCACTGGCAGGGAGTTGGATGACTCTTTGTGCACTCCTTGCCCTTGTCCCCATACAGGATGACACCTGCCTGGCGGAGCTGGCCCTGGCACTTTCCCTCTCACTGGAGATCAGCAGCAAGCGGCGGCTGGTGGGCGTCAGGCTGCGCGTCCAGACCCTGCAGGCAGAGCTACATGAAGGGCTCTTCTGCAGCCCGCTGTTGCACCGCATCACTGCCAGGGCCCAGCGCAGCAGCGTAGGGGAACAGCCCAGCGCAGGTCAGGGACGAGGGCAGGGACAAGCTCTGGGCAGGGCAGGGGCTAGCAGCCCCCATGCTTACCCTGGAGCCAGAGTGATTTTGCTGTGCCGTCGCTTCCTCCCACTGCAGGGTGTGGGGGTTTGGGCAAGAGCCTTCCTGTGATTCTGTGTGTCCCTCTCCAGGCTCGGGGGAGCCCCTGAAGTCCCTGTCTCTGCTGAGCAGGGACACGCTGCAGCTCATTCCCAGGAGGGTGGAGGTGAAGCTGGAGAGCACCAGCATGGTGCTGTCTATGAACAGCCAGAAGAGGTAAGGAGGCAGGTGGAGGGGGAGGCCGTCCTAGCCCCGATTAGCGCTGGGGACACGGACCTATGGACAACTGCGCCATTCCCTGCTTGTCCCCTGCTCTGCCAGACCGCAGAGAGTGAGTCCTAGAGCCCACCCTAGTGGGAAGGACTGAGCTTGGCCTGGGGCTGGGCTCTTGGGGAAGGAGGAAGGCACATTAGCTGGTTCTCCAGTAGGACAGCCTGATGGGTTCCTCTGCTGATGAGAGCCCTGGGCTGGGCTGTAGCTGGGCACTGGCTGCTGTCGTCTTCTGTGCCAGCATGCTGGTCAGCTGGGAATGAGAGACGGGTAGATGGAGGACGTGATGGTGCAGTTCCCTTCTGGCAGTGACTCCCTGCTTCTTACAGGCACCTCACCTGGAGCCTGAAGCTGCTGCAGTTTCTATATCAGCGTGAAGAGGAGCAGATCCCACTGCGCAACTTCACGCCCACCTCAGACCTGGACCAAATGAGTGTAGACCTCCAGCTGGAGGGCAAGTAGCCAGGAGGGCGCCTGCAGGACAGGACTGCTGTCACTGCCCTCTGCCACCCCTCACTTCTGCTCCTTTCTCTCCCCAGACGGCCTTCTCCTGTCCCAGAGCCGCCAGCGCATCGTGTGCCTCAACTCCCTGAAGACAAGCGTGCAGGTGAGTGAGTGCTGGGCATGCTCCTGTCCCCCGGGGGTAGCTGGTTCGGCTCCTGGCATGAGTTTTTTGCCACCTGGCCCTCTCCCTTCTCTAGGTCACAGCCATTGACCTCTCAGCTGCCGTGCTGCTCAACACCTGCATCATCCACTACCGTCACCAAGAGTTTTCACACTGGCTGGGCCTGTTGGCACAGGAATACAGGTGCCGGGCGGTGCCTGTCCCCAGCGAAGGGCACAAGAGAAGGTAAACTCAGCCTCAGGGCAGTTGCTGGTATCACAGCTTGTTTCCTCTTGCCTGCTACGCTCTGGCAGGGTGCCCAGGCACCCAGCACCTTCTTTGCCCTGTGCACTGCCTGTGGGATGGGGAGGCTGGTACGAAGGGTGGCAGGCGGTCGGGGGGCCCCTGTGGAGAGGGCGTCCCTCTGGGCCTGCTCCCTGCCAGGCTCTGGGGCATGCAGTGCCCCGGTAACAGCCCATCCCTGCTTGCCCCGTGCAGGAGCTACCCCCAAATCATAGCGCCCATCATCCTGTGTGCCTCGCTGTCCAATGTCAATGTGTCAGTGCAGCTGGGGGACACGCCACCCTTCGCCTTGGGCTTCAACTCCATCTCTGCAGGTACGGGCTGGCAGCTGGCACCAGGGTGGCTGCTGGGCTCTTCTTGGGGGTTGGTGGCTCTGCCAGAGAGGCACCAGGATGAAAATGGGGAGGGCCATGCTATCTCTGTGCTTGCCCATGTCTGTGTCTGGCCAGGGGCTGTGGACCCCTGCCTGGTTGTGTCTGGGTTGCCCCTGTTCGCGGGCAGCTGAGCAGGCAGCAGCGAGCCCTGCCTGCACTCACCCCCTCCTCTCTGCCTGCAGACTACCAGCACCTGCGGCCGCAGAGCGTGCACCAGCGAGCGGTGCTGGCCGTGGACCACCTCT